TCCAGCACAGATGGGTCACACGCTTGATTTTGCGTAGTTTTTATATTGGATACCCTTCCTGACAAAATGCTCCCATTTATCAGGGTTTAGAACAAGCAGAAAGGTTACACTAGCTTATGACCCATGAAGCGTTTTTGTTTCTTGAATTATTATACTATGAAGCCACTAGGCCTTACCTCTAGAGTAAGGAAAGTTCGGCAAGTTTTTACTTTTTTCAGAGTAGCCTAGACTAACTGAGTTATTGTCAAAAATTAAGTTTATTAAATTGAATTTAAGTTCATAGCTAAAAATATACACATACAAGAAAAAATGCCACACTGACTCTGTTTAAGAAATTTAATTAAATAATTAGTGACTTTCTTGTACTGTTGATATTTTGTGTTATATTTTTGTATTAAACTTTATTTACTATCAAACAGGAAACTGTATATCCACTGTAACCACTTTTTACTTTCATTATATTCGTGAAAATAATGTATTCATGTGGATTACAGAGAAACACATCAATATACTAAATAATATTAAAGAACACAACAACACAGACTAAAACCATTCATAGATGGGATTCATACTGTTTTCATCTCTAAAATAGCTTAATAATATACTTTTTAGTCTTTGCACATAAACTGGAAATACAGTGTCAAAAACATACAAATAATTACATTTCTAACAAACAACAAAAGTGAAATATATGTCCACATTTATGATGCTAGTAGAGCTTAATCCAGCCCAAGAGCCTTGACATCAGTGTAGATGCTCTCTTCCTCTGCAGGTTTTGTATCCTTTGTCCCCGATTTGCTCGCTTTTTTAAAAGTTGGTGCCGAATAAACCAACAAGTCCTCATCTGTCTGAGGAAGCAGCACATGTTAATATTTACACAGGTAAACATGCTGGAAGCTTATGGCTCTGTTTGTCCTTATAATTACCTGCTGATTTTCCTGGTCACCACTTGAAAGTACATTTGTTTGCAGGGCAACTGCATCTGTATTGTCATTTAAAAAAAAAAAAGCAGTAAAATTAGGTTATATTTTCCTAGTATTGATTGCTTGATGTGATGGGAGTGACTTTGCTTACCGTTAGAATACACATATGAACTCTTCTTTAGCTTCTTGATTGAATAAACTAGACAAGCTATAACAATCAGGCTTATAGCCAAAGCGACACACAACAGATAGAGAATTGTATTGTCCTTCTTTGAGCAGCTTTTCTTGACTGCTGACAAAAAAAAAGAAATAAGGAAAGTTAACAGTAATTAAAAGTGTTACCAAAAGTATATTTCAATTATTTGATTAGGCATTACAGGATAGATTAAAAACTAAAATGTAATGAAATGCACAAATCCTCTAATTGCCCCATTATATAAAAATACTACTCAATTACCTTCAGCATCGCCTGTTGTTTTATTTCGAGAAAAAGACTCCACACATGTGGCCACAGCACAGTAATAC